GAGGTGACGTGCGCAGCTTGTGAGAAACTTTTTGGCGTGAACGCGTACCACCAGAGGTCGTTCGAGGCCCACGGCGCTACGTAAGCGGTGAAGCAGAGCAATCGCCTCGCGACCCTGCGGCGTGAGGCGGAGAGTGTGGCCTGGAGCGGCTCCATCTCGCATACGCACACGTTCGACGGCGACGGCGGCTGCGACGGTGCGGTTCGAGAAGATTTCAGAGATCTCCGGCGGCGTCACGCGCGGCGTGCGCTGCCAGTGCGGCGACAAGCTCAAGACAGCTACCGAGCGAGGACCCTTTATGGACCCCCTCTACGGATCCTCCACAGCCCTCCAAGGACCCCCCACGGCCCTCTCGGGCCGCCCCTGCAGATATTCGCCTCGCGCGCAGGTACATTCTGAACCAGCACATCGAGGCGAAGCACAAGCCCGAGGCGGACAAGGACCGCGAGAAGGTGGCTTTGGACCGTGGCAAGGCGGCTGCCGCCTTGGTGCCAAGGACCGCGGCGCCTCCGCGACTCGACGGTCATGGCGGCGGACCTCGAGAGCGCTCTCAAGCTCGCCCCAGACGAGAAGAATCACCTTAAACTTGGCTCCTGTGCCCGTATTAAGCGTAAGAGCGTATGAGCACAAAAAGGGCGTTCGGGCGAGGGGCGTATGAGCGTTCGAGCCGGCCTTTGACCGTCGGCTGCCGTTTGGGCGTTCGGGGCCGTCTCCGGGGCCGCATGGGGCGTAATCCTCGGCTGACAGTTCGGGTTTCCACACATCGCCGACGCGGGTTTTCCGCGGGCGGTGAAACACGCCCGCCGGAGCAGCGACGCTCCTGTGAGATGCCCATGGACGCCATACGGCATCCCATGTGCCAGATTGCATCAATTGGAATAATGCCATATGAAACGCAGCGACTCAGGCTACGCAGGATCAGAGGCCGACGGCGTACCGAAAATGTAGCCAGATCGAATCCTCCGTCTGTCGATGCACGAGCAGTCTCTCTCAGTCCGCCGTGTTCGCCAAAGACTCGAAAGCACTGTCCAAAATCCCGTCGTCAAAACGTCTTCGCCCCATGCTGTGGCCGTGGATTAGAGCTCCTTGGCCCTGGATCAGAGCTCGAGAGCGTACCATAACGCCGCCTTCTCGATTCCTCGGTGCGTCCTTCGACGCACTTGCCCGTTGGAGCTCACCGCGGCGCAGGCCACGGAAGCACCGTGCAAAGACCCGCCGAACGTCCACGCACGGTACTCCGCCGCAGGGCAGCGCAGCAACACATCGCACGATGGTACAACCATCCACTCCATCAGCCGTGTCACTGAGGCACCGCGTCGAACGCCCAGGACTCTGAAGCACCGCCAAGCCCCCGTTGTAAAAGAACGTTGGACGGCTTCATCCCGCGGCGTGCTATAGATCAGAGCTCCGTGGCTCTAGATCATCACGCAGCGACGCGGCGCGTTAATGCCTCATCGAGCCGTCCGTCCGTCGATGGACACGCCGGCGTCGTTGCCCGCCGCGTCGGCACAGGCCACCAAAGCACCGTCCAAAGACCCGAGCTGGCTGTGCGGCATCGCCGCCATTTCGCGCGCAGCAGCATCGACGAGGGCGCAGAGGCCGCTGTACCGCTCGTCGCCCTCGCCTGAATCCATGGGCGTTCGAGGGTGTAAGAGCGTATATCGGCCGTTTGGGCGTATGAGCGGAGGGCATATGAGCGTTCGCCGAAGGAGGACTACTGCGGGCACAGGAGCCAATTAAACCACTCTGATTGGCCGTTCCGTGGTTTAATTGGCCTGGGTTGGCAATTACTTGGTTTTTGATTACTAGTACTCCGAGGTAAAGAAATCCGAGGTAATTGCGTTACTCCGCAAGCCAAAAATCCACCGCGCGGCGCGCTGCGGTCCGTATTACTCGGCAAGTGCGAAAACGACTTTGCTTCTCCCCAACTTTTGAACGACTGGCTGTGAATTCCACTCGACTTTGGCGAAAACGAGGGCCTGCACGACATGATCGCCGACATTCGCGCCGACCACCCAAAAAAACTTCAAATGCTCGGCCGAGTGGCGTGCTAGGCTCCTAGTCGCCCAGAGGGCACGTAGAGAGCTCTCTTACGCCCTAAAGAAGATTTTTGGGGGGGCAGTACAATTTTGGCGATATTACTGCATATTACTGCCATGCCCAGTAATACCGAGTAATTACGCGCCTTCCCGGTAAAACCCCGGGTAATTGCCAGCCTAGGGTTGGACGAGGTGTCTTGTGCGACCCACGCCTCCGGGTTTTCCATAAAGGGGTCAAAACACCCTTTTTTTCGTAGCCGAGCCCAAAAAAGCACTCGGTCATTCATACTAGGAATCCTAGGACTTCCTGGTAATACTCATAGGGACGTCTTCGACGGGGCTCACCGGCCAGACGCGGCGCGGCGGACTACCGACGCTGGGGCGGGGCTCGCATGGTCCCTGGTCGGAGGCGTCTTGCCGATGCCCGGGCATCTTCCGCCCCCCCAGCGCATGGTCCATCCACCGAGACGGCTCGCGCGCCCAGGCCGG